CTAAATATGCAGTAATAGATGCACACCCACACAATTTATGGTAAACTGAGCTGCCTTGTATGGACATATGTTGAAGATGCCTCGTTCTAATGGTTTCTCTGAGGCTGCTGTGCCATTTGGAGCAAAAGTGAATGTAAAGTTTACAGCATTTGTCACTGGAAATTGTTTGCACTGTTTATATTATTTACTGTAGGCATTGGTGAAAAAAGCCTTATGTTGTGAAAAACTGAAATCTGGAAATTAGAATTGTTGTGCCTTATTTTGTTGATGTTTTTACATATATTCCTTTTGAAAATACAAAAATTTGTATATTTATTTATTTTTGTTTGTCTGATAGCATTTATTTAAAAAATAAATCGGACATTTCAAACAGTTACTCACTGAGTAGTCTTTTCTCCAAGTACTTTTTTACTCTTACTTGAGTAACTTTTTTGAACACTACTTTTCACTGTTACTTGAGTAATAATATTTTAAAGTAATGCTACTCTTACTTGAGTACAATTTTTGGATACTCGACCCACCTCTGCTAAACGATTCAGATATTTTTCTTCACAAGCAAAGGGAAAGTTAACAGATTACATTTCAACAGTATGGCTCAGTTTTCCTACCATTACCTTTTCAGTAATACAGTAACATAATGGATTACTGTACTAACTATTAGGGCTGGGCCATATCATACCGTTCATGGTAATACCGGTATAATGTTGGGCAATGATAAGAAAATGAAATATTGCAATAGAATATCGGTAAAACGCGCATGCGCAGTGCCTTTGTTTTCATATGCACATGGCCGAAAAAGCATGGTTGCGGTGACGGAGAATGAGAAGGGCGAAAGCGGATCGTTATTTTTGGTAGAGCATGCTAGCGGGCCGTCGTTATTACCGTGTTTTTTGGAAAATACGGCACACTTAAAATCAATCCTTTGATTGTTCTGAAAATCAACAGGTCCCCTTATAATCCCGTGTGCCTTATGTATGAATTCTGGTTTTGTTTACTGACCTCGAAACGATTTTATGTCGTACACGGCGCTCGAAAATCTGTCAAATGTTTCAGTACGACTTTGCTAAGCTACGAAGCCGCACCGCTTGATGGATTGTTGGAGCATTATGGCTACCGTAGGCAGGAGCCTCGCGGAGTGATATGTACTGTGCTTCAACATAATATTACAGTATTGTGTGTGTGTAACCTCTTTTTAAGTTTTGTGGATATTATACATGGTTATGCTGAGGATATGTCGGCCAGTTTCCACTGGAAATGTCTTTTGGTTAAACTGTCAGCAAGGAATTTACATTCGCACTGTTACGTTTTTATATAACTTTAATGCAGATAAAAAAAACAGTTGCTTGTTTAAGTGAAAATACATTAATGTTTTTTTTTTTGCACTAATAAAGTTGTGGAGTTGTAAAGTATTTTGTCTAGTGTCAATTATATCGTCAGTTATATCGTTATCGCAAATTTTCAAATGTATATCGTGATAAATATTTTTGGTCATATCGTCCTGCTCTACTAACTATAGTTACAACTATGCTGTTACTCTCATATCAAAGAAGAAAAAAAATGCTCTTCAGTCGAGTGGATGCAGACTCAGCATCAAAGAAGGGTTACTGAGGCACTATGTCTTTTGGTAACGTTTATTCTTGGAGCATATCAACTCATAAGTCATCCACAGCCAGTCACAGTTAAATACCAGGCCTGGGTTTGCAGTCAGTCAACTTCTATGACAAAGTAATTACCCCTAGAGACTGCTAGAATTAAAAAGGCAAGGGGCATAAATTTCTAAACAATTATACACAAACTAAACTGAAGTGTATTATTAGAGCAATAATACAAAAGTATCTGAAAAACAAACAAACAAACCTAGATTTATAATACATCACAATAAAATAAGCCGCAATTGAAATATTAAAATGGACATACTCATGTACAGTACAGAAAAGCAATAAGCAATTGTGTTTTCCTAGCTAATATCTAAAACACAGGACAGAGTTAGCTACTACAAAGAGAAAATGAACATTAACAGCCTTAGAGCATCTAGCATGCCTGGATAAAATCCTCAAAAATTTAAAAAAGAACTACAAGAGAATTAATTATTGTTTTTAAGCTAAAAAGACCCAAAGAAATACAAATGTTTATTTCCACATTTCACTAACAGAAACTAATCGGTAATTTCTTTTACTTTGAAAGCCGAACTCTATTTCCTGTCTGATAAACTAAACTTGACTGATGATCAGTTGAGTACGATTCGGTCCATTGGAGATATTTGTGTCTTAGAGCCTCCCTGAGCCTGACGGGGCCAGAACAGAAACCGGACCATCTATTTGATTTAAGCCATGAAGAAAGGGACTGAAAAAGGACTGTGAGAGCGTCTGCTTGGCCAGGACCCCCATGGATAAGCACGTTTTCAAGTCAAGTTGGGACAATAAGGTCTTATATAAGGCAGAACAATAACACAAGACCGGATATAATCCTTTCACAATAAAAGTGCTGCTAAAAGTGAAGAGGCGGAATAGAAAAAAAAGAAAAATCAAAGAATCAGTTTTTATTCGCAACATTTAATTAATTAAAGATTTAAATACATAATTTATTCAAATCAGTAGATTTTCATCAGCCTTAAGACCAGTACTGAGAAATTGGGGGAACGTGTGTGTATTATTTTGAAAACGAGGCTGGACCCCGGTTGGTTTTGACAGTGGCAGACGGAGGTGAAAAAACGAGAGACTCACGTGTCTGTGGCTGTGGTCGTTATGTATGTGTGTGTGTTACTGTCTGTATGAATAAAACATGACAAAAAAAGAGTGGTGACGGTGGGAAACGTGACCGGCCGACTCGCATCATCAATCAGGAGAGAAGCAGACGCAGATTGAAACATTTAAAGTGATCACCATCTTATTTTAGAAGCATTATTCTGCCTCCACACATAAAGGATAGCCGTGATTACACTTTTTTAGTGCCTTAATCTACCCAGTGAGGCCAAAAAGATCATAAGAATGATGTACACGGACATGAAGAGCCTCAGAGGCAGAGATGAGCTGTGATCATGCTCCAAAAAAGAAAACAGATGTGAGGCAGTGTCTGGAGAAATGAAATCAAAGATTTTCTCTCTGGCCCTGTGTTTACCTGCAGCAGCTGGTGCACTGAGGAGAAACCAGGCATCTTGGAGCTTCCACCAGTTAAAAGCAAATCATATTTCCATGGATACATTTGAAAGAACACATATTTATACACTCCGGAGATAAATGCAGGTGACTCAGCGTCTCTCTGGCAAAAACACATGTATGTACCATTTGATCTGTTTTCAAGTCACCAGAAGCCCAAATCTTTGGCTTTGGGCAATTTAAAGGACATGCTGTATTTACAGAAGCCTTTAATCTTTCATTTAGACCTTTAAACGGAAACCACATCCATGTGGAATTCCTCATTGCCAGCCAATGCAAGAACACTTTTGCAATCAAGAATTAAATGATTAACTGATCAGAGTTGGTTGAACTTCATGGGTATTAGTTGGTTCAGAAACAGAGACCAGTGAGAGTCCATTTCATCTGCTGTGCTGAAAATCAAAGCGACAGACCCCACTCCAGACTCTCTCACATCTGCCACATGTGTTCAGTGTGAACCTGTTAAGAAAACAGGGCACCAGTGGCTGACCTGCCAGTTCTGCTGTTCTTTGGTGACTCCCAGCTGATCTGGTGTGCTGGTCCGTCACAGAGTCTGTCTCTGACATGCTCATAAGTGATGTGGTGCAGGTCGTTTTGCTGTGAACTTCCTGTTCCATGGAGCCCAGAGTTGTGTTTTTTGGTTAGAAAATGCCTAAAATACTGAAATGATCAAAGTTATAAAACCTTCAATGGCCCAAATTCAGCCTGAGTGGAAATTCAGGCAGTCTGTTTTAAATAACAAGCAGATTTTGGACCAAATTTAGTGAAGTACATAATTCAAACAACATAAGCCACGTTAACACACCAAACAACAGGACTGACAGGCCCTTACTCTGTAGTAAGTATGGATAAAGTAGTTTATCTTTTCTCTGCAGTGAAGCAATAAATGTGATCAGTTATTACCCCGTGAGTGCCAATGACAGGCTATTGCATTAATTTTTCCTTTAGCCTGAACACACATTTGAGCATATACAGCAAATAAACACTAAACATTCAAGCCTGCATTTTTATTATCAGTAATAGATAACAGAAAGGTAACAAAGGCTAAAAATGTCGGTGGATTTCTCACTTTCAGCCCTTCTCCACCTCCTGTCATCTTTACTTCTTTGTGAGTTTGTCGCCCCCTGTTTCTCCTCACTTCTAATTGCATGTCTGCACGTTAGATACAGTTAGATTTATACTGCAGCTGAAGGTCTTTATAAAAACACATTTACAATTTAATACTGTGCTCGGTTAGAAGTTAGTGCAGCTTTTAAGGGGCTGAAATTTGAAGCACCTGGAAACAAATCAAAGATAAAGTTGGCACACTGCTGCTGTGTTTCATGTTTAATGTAAACAAACCTGTCTCAGAAAAAGTAAGACTTCAGCTAAAGATGGTCAGGTTGCACCAACTGGTTTATTTTAACTGTGCATTACTTAACTATGCATTGAATATAAGTCACATGGACTTAATTTTAAGTTCAATCCATTTCATGTTATATTCATTTAGAAAAATATAGTCAACATTCATAAAAGTAACTTTAAAGAGTTTTAAAAACATAAAGTCATGAGTTTTTGTTGCACTACTGTGTCTCATACACTGCAGTTATGGAAAAAAGTGGAAAACCAGACAGAAAAACGTAGATAGTAAACTCAAATACAATAAGTGAGCGCCACCTACTGTACAGAAGCTGTTATAAGAAAGAATATTAAAGCAAAGTGTAGAACATGAGTGGATTTCGTGTTACGTGTATATTAAAGAGTGTTTTCCTCACTTTTTTCTGCACTTTGCTCTCACTCTCATCCTGTTAAATGCTGACCTGCTTGGCTCGGCTCTGTGTTTGGAGGTGTTGCTGGGTAACGGTCTACATGCAGAGGGAAGTGTAGCTTACCTGTAAGCTGAGACTCAAAGAGCAGCTGTCAGACTGTGGAGCTGAGATGACTCATCTGTGGGCTTAATCCAGCATCAATAAAACAACGAAATAACAGGGAAGAAGCCGATTTCCTGGCAGACACAAACACCTCCACAGGTGGGTTTTATTCCGCTGCTGCTGTTGGTGTTCGTAACTGGAGCTACAAAAAGGCACGTTTTGAGATTACCTTGCATCTGTGGCACCACCTGCAGGGGAAACTGCATGAAAATTTAAGGTTTGGTCACCATTAAGAATTGAATTTTGCAAGAACCACAATTTGTTTTGAGTAAGGATATATTATGTGCACACCTGGAAGAATTTTGTATAGAGAATATGAGTATGAAATATCAGACTGTATTAACAATGACAATCCTCATAATATGTTTTCGAAAACGAGTAAAAACTTATTTCACTTTTTAGGGCTTATGAGCAAAAATTGGTGTGATGCTCTTTAACAACACATTGGTACCTGTGCCTTTATTAGCAGCTGTTACTTGTTCTTACAGATTCAGTAACTTTCAGTTAGAAAAATTACATATTTTCATGATTGAAAAACAAACTATGTGCTTGTTACAGCTGTTACCCCAATAAAGCAAAACTGTGTGTGAGACAGAGACGGAGACACCGTAGGTGTGAAGATGGCATTGGCCAGCGGTCACTGGTTGGAGAAGGAGATAAAAGGAAAAGCCCCAAGTCCTAGGTGAGTGCGCCAACCTAAATAATATAAAGGTGGTGCTCTGATGCAGTATATACCACAAATAAACAGGTAACAATCACTCTTGAAAGATTAGTGTATAAATGCTAACATATGATAATATATTGTAGGAGTAGTATATTGTGACATTGTTATAGTGAAGATTGTTTTACACGATACGATCAGGTCAGTAGACCATTAAAGTAATGAAATAAACTGAGTTTAATCACGTTAAAACCTTAAACCTGCAACTCCTCTGGTAGCAAAAGTAAGTTTGGTTGGATAGAAGTTTATGGGAAGCCCCCAGTTCCATTGCTGCATGTCTTTTAAATAGTTTAGTGACTTTATTGGCTTGTTGAAGTGTTCCAGGTTCCTTGGTCAGCTTGGTTGTCCTGAGGTTTCTCGACATGGACAGATGGAGACCCAACAACCGAGTCATTCCTGTTGGAATTCGAGAACATGCCTAATTGGTGCATTGAAATTCACATTCTCTGTGGGGGAAACCACCGTCTGATGACAAAATTTATGTCAACTCATGGATGTTGAAAGTATAATTTAGGCATTAGGGTACTTCAGTGGATATCAGTGGATGATGTCACTCATGGCTACGTCAGTTTATATACCATAAGTCCAGTCCAGTGATTTTAGATGGCGTGGGCCGCAAGAGGTCATTTTTTCAATTTGTAATTTAATTTTTATCACCATAAAAACAGAAATATTACATAACACAAACTTAAAAGATTTAAAAATGAAACATTACCACAAATTTTACATTATTCTTGATTTCTGGCTTATTTTGGCTCCTGATCTCTTTACTATAGCTCATTAGTGTAAGAGCTAAAATGCAGCACTATTGGCCAAAGTAAAGCTGTTGATAAAGAATCTGCCTCAAACCAAACATCAGAAGATCAAAAGGAATCAATGACAACATGAAGCAGAAAATATGTCTTCTTATGCTAATGTGAATAAAGACTTTGGTGGGCTATAGAAGATTTTTTACATTTCAAAATGAGCTTGTAATAAGTAAAAGTCTTAAGTTTAGGAATGCCCAACTTAATGCTGTGCCAACATTTTCATCCACCTCATCATAATTCATTCTTGTAATAATTGTGCTCAAAATGGACTCAGTGAGCAGACTCAAACAGCTATTGGCAGTTTTTTGTAGCTTATTACAGTTGGCAATGGTTATTGATGACTGCCAGTGGGACTGAGAGAGAGAGACTTTATAACAACAATGTGCAGACGAGCTCTGCTGGAAATGAGTTGCATTAACTGTAGTTCCAAAGGAGAAGGAATATGACTGTGAGTATTCTGAGTCTGGACCTTTGCCTTACATATCTCAGAGGTGGTTTTGGGGCTAAGAGGAGCATCAGCTCAACAGGGGGAAATTCAGACACTCTGGGAATGAACAGCGGGCAGGCAAGTTTGCTGAGGTCTTTCCCTTACAGGTTAATCGGCATTGCTGGGAGTGTCTACAGTCCACGGGCAGGTGAGTCTCCAAACAGAAATGTTTCCAGGAAAGGGTCCAAAAAGGTAACTAGGAGAGAGACAGAGACAATGGGTAAGATGACATTAAAGACTAAGGTTCAAAGGCGGCCTAAAGTTCATCATATTGGTAAAAAACAACCTGGTGAAGAACTGCTGCACACATAATACTAAGCTCAGTGAAGATGATGTCTGACCCGCTTCTATTTCTGTGTTTCTTTAAATCCACAGACACGGCCATGCTTTAGCCGTGGCTGGAGACGTTGCCTTTCTTTTTGGAGGTGCCTGCAGCATCAGTCAAGAGGTGAGACCACTGTTTATTTTTCTTTTTTATTCAGTCACAGTAAAACATGAGTGAAGCATGGAGCCTGGGTGGTCTGTGCTTCTGCTAATCAGTCTTTTCTGGTTGATTCAGGAGGGCAGTGTTGTTTACTTCAGTGACTTCTACATGCTAACAGGTACAACATGCAGCTGTAGTCCTGATGTGCTTTTTCTCGCATGCATTTTTGGAGGTTTGGACTTCTGCAAGTGGTATTGAGCAAAGTTTTAGGATGTTAATAATGCTGAATTTAAAACCCATTTACTGAACTCAATTTTAAGTTCACACACAGCCCAGTTCAATTAAAAAGCCACGACAAAAAAATCTTCTTCTTTAAATTGTACCATGATGATTAAAAACAGGAAAACAACCTAAAAAGCACCATAAGCTTTAGAAAACTGGGAGTAAAAAAAGCTACAATAAATAAATAAAAAGAAAGAAAGTTATTATATTTTTCCAGTGGTTTGGAATAATTATCGCATCTGATTAAAATTATCAGTATGTCCATTTACAGTGGCAAGGTCAGTTTTATTTACGCTATATAAAATATCATGAATACCAAAATAAAAGCCTCGCAGGGTTTTTTCTAAATACTTTTTGGCAAAAGCAAATTTATTTCTAATGTGTTTAAAACAGAAGATTAAAAACATACAAAGTGGTTTAGCTTTACAACGAAACAGCAAAATAAAACGTTACAAAGAAGTAAAACACAAGTTAACATACACACACGCACAGCCACACACAGACACCGAGTGTAGATTTGTGAGAACTAAAAGGCTTCAAGTCTATTTTTGAATGTATGCACAGATGTAACTGACCTCGGGTCGTCAGCAGGCAGCTCGTTCCAAAGAAACATGACCACAGTAACTGAAAGCACCCTCACAGGTCACAGCACGTTTTTATGACCTCTTAACTTACTAACTGGTTTTAAATGACATTATCAGATCAGTTATTTTGGCCTTTGCATTTGATGTTTTGGTGTTGTTTGTAGTGACTCCTGAAGATGTGACCTGGGAGGAGATTCCTCAGAGCGGCGACGTTCCCTCGGCCAGAGAAGGGCACACTCTGTGGTAAAATACAGCACTGACTCTGAACTCTAATTATTGATAGTTTAAAACATTTTGAAATCAGTCAGTGTCAGAAAGAAATAGACATTTTTTTTTTAATAACGTTACATAAATTCTTTTCACATTTAGCATATTCTCCATTGAATCGAGACAGATAACAATAAATGAGGTGACTATCTTCAGAATTCAAAGCAATCAAGTGGACTTTGTGTGTCCTTCTCCTGCACACTTGCTCTGAACACCACCCAAAACCAAAGAGTTTCTAGTGGTGAGATGCCTTTTCTCCTGCTGTGTGCTATAGTTAGAAAAAAAGGTGTCATGGTTTTGGGTCTTCGACCCAGTTTTTATTTGTTATGTTCTAGCCCTATATTGGTGTTTCTTGAGCTCAGTCTTCCCTAGTCTCATCCCTGTGTTTCTCAGCCTTCCCAGTCATGTACCCATGTCTGTTTTCTCCCCAGTCGCTCTGTCAAGCCCATGTATCTTAGTCTCGATCTCATTCTTTCTACTTCTTGTTTATTTTAATAGTCTTATGTTTCATGTGTATTATGCTCAATTTTGCTTTCGTTGTCTTGTCAGTCAGATTAGTGTCAGCTGTGTTCCCACCTGTGGCCTGTTCCCTCGTTATCCTCCTTGTGCATATGTTGTCTGTGCTTCCCTATTGATTGGTCAATAAGATCTAGAGGAGGTGGAGTTCCTGATAAGGTTTCTCCGGCTGGACTTGAAGAAGGCTCATTAATGGTTGCACAGGATCTCTCACCTGGTTCACGTTTGGTTACTTGAGTTATTTGTTGATTGTTAGCTTCGGTCTCCATCGCTTTCCATGTATTATGTAAATCTGCCTCCAAGCCCTTTGGTGCTCTATCTGCACACATAGACATGTCATGGTGGCAACTGGAACCAGCAACTGGTTTTCCAAGACAAGCTTTATTGTCAAAAACAAACTCCATCTTATGATGAAGCCTCCATCGTAATTTATTCATTTGTTTCTCTTGAATTATATTCAAAGCTCAAGGAACTCTCCTGTAAAAAGACAGTTTTTTAAGTTCAGTGATAGCACAATGACTGTAATGTTCCCCTATCCGTGTGCATGTTTTCTTCTCACTGAGCTTCTCCCACCATTATAAAAGCCCAAGACAGACAGACTAATGTGATCTGTCTTGGGCCAGGACACTCACATTAGGCTATGTTATAATAAATAGTTCTGTTGAATATTCAAGGTTACAAATGTTGAGCAAAATAGTCATAATTACAGTTGTAGCTCTTGCAATGCTGCAACACACTGATGCATTTTTACTGTAAACACCATGTTTTGTTTCCTTCTCAGTGTTGTGAAAGGAAGGCTGTATCTGTTTGGAGGAGCGTCCAGTCCTGAAGCCACTGAGTGTCTCCCAGGAGTCTACAGCTTTGATATAGGTGAGGATGTACAGCAGCTAGAAGAAACAATGAACTAGTTTAGTTTGATTTGTGTTGTGTGTGGGTCATATAAAACATGACCAAAGTTTCAAATAGTGAGGTTAGGGTCTGCACAAGTAATGACTGAGCCAAAAAGTCAGACACTTTTTTTTTCTACTCTTGGCTTTGTATGATGTCATAGAGTGTGTATATACCTAAATGGGCTTCTCAGGTACAGAAGTCGCACGCAGAATGGGCCCCCCATAGTGACGCCCATACTTCATTAGGTTTCCATGTCCTGACAGTGACTCTGACCTGGGAGTGCTTAGCGGTTGGGGGTGTGGCCCTCAGAGCTCTAAGACACTGCTCTGCTGCTGGTGGCGAAAACATCTACGTGTACGGAGGTGCTGTGGAGGGGAATCCAACTGATGACCTCATGGTGTTCAACACAGGTTACAAAAAAAACCAAAAAACTTATGCAGCTTTCAGCTTCCTTCTTCTTCTTCTTCTTAATAAAAACAAATCACCCTATTTATGTTTTTACAGTTTAGATTCTGATGTCCTTTCTGCTCTGTTTCAGTGTCTCTCACCTGGACACCGGTCAAAACGAGTGGATCTCTGCCTCCTGCCCTGTGAGACTTCTTCTCTGACACACTGTCACCAAAAACTGTAGTTCAAGCTTCACAATCATGACTCAGTGAAGGAATTTAGCATCAGATGTCATGATTTGGAGACACAAAGACAGCATTCAGAAACAAAAAGCAAGCTGTTTATTTAGCTAATAAAAAGCCAACACGTAAATTTAAAGCTGAGGCAAAATAACAAAATCCAAACACCTCAGAGAAATGTGAGAGGAAAGCTACATGTACAGGGCTCAGCTGAAAGATTTACAAACACAGGAACACAGCGAGGGGTACCGTGGGCAGAGGAAACAGCTGGGTGACAAGAAACAGGTGGAACTGAACAAGGATAACGAGAGAGAAGCAATGCAGTGTTATGAAAAAGCATTTCCCAGTTTTTAAGTTTAAGTTTTTTTTGCATATTTCTCACACTTAGATGTTTCAGATTGTGAAACTAATTTTAATATTATAAAAAGATAACCTGACTAAATACAGATAGGTTTGCATAGCTTTCATCCTTTAATAGATGAAATCATCATTTAAAATCTCAGCTATCTTTGTACAATATGAAAAATTTGTTGGCTGAACATGTAAGTGTGACAAATATGAAAAAAAAAAGAAATCAAGAAGGGGGCAAATACTTTTTATGTTAAAAGCAGAGCACAAAAGAGATGGATTTACCAAAATAAAACAGGAAGTGACTAACTGAACACTGAGATAAACCGTTACCACACTCAGGAGCAGGAACATGATAATAAAAATGTCGAATCTAAATAATACTTTAGGCCCCAAAACTTCAAGGTCCAGGACCACGACTATCAGATTTTTATAAAAACAATGACAATTCTATTTTGGCAGCATACTAATCTATGAAACCCAAAGAATCTGACAGATGTCCTTTTTCTGTGTGTAGATGGGGTCAGAGTTGTGCTCTGGTTGGAGATCAGGTGTTCATGTTTGGAGGTTATGGAGCAGGAGGAGAGTTCTGTAAAGACCTCTATGTTCTCAATACAGGTAAGAGCCAAGCTGAGGCATTTTCCAGTTAGTTTTACATAGCACATAATAATTACACTTGGTGGGAGATGGAGATGATCATAGAGATCGACTAAATATTAGTGCAGCTTTGAATTACTCGCTTTAAAATGACCAGATAGATTTATTTATGCAACTTTATTTCTTGCACACGATCAAACAAAAAGTTTCTATTTACACAAATGTCAGAGATTTAAACAGTGTATGTTGAACTGCATCAGAAATCACAGGTGTATCTAGAAAAGATCATTCATGCTTATATATACAGCAAATATACAAATTAAGTCAAACACATAACTCTTATGACTTCATCTGACCTTTGACCTTTATGTCCTTTGGGTTTTAAGAGAACCTGCAGTGGCAGAAAATGGAGGTGAAAGGAGAATCACCTGCAGCCTGCAGCGGACAAACACTGACTGCACACCATGATAAAGTACACACACACACACACACACACACACACACACACACACACACACACACTGAAATGAACTATATGAATGTACTAGTAGCAGTAGCAGAGGTGCTGGAAAGAAAAAAAACACTATTATATATTTTACTTATTATTGAATTGGTGTGATTATAATTCATTTGTTTCTACCTATGCCATGCTTTGGAGAACCAGCTGTACTAAAATTAATATTACCATAATATTAATATTTTTATCCATCCAACCATCCATTTTTCTGCAGTTTATCTAGGCAACAGTCTGAAATACCCAGGCCTTCCTTTCTCTGGCTGCTTGGGCCTTAATATTAAAAGAAAAAAACAACACATAAAAAATATAGTGTTAGAGAGGTGGGAAGAGTAAAGGGTAAGGTCTTATAGGGAGTTGTGAGGCTGGACAGTAAGGAAGTAGAAAGGGACTTGTTAGTGATTGACTACTAAGAAGTCAAGCTGGAAAGGATGTGCAACGTGGCAGAGTGATTAATGGCAGAGATGGAAATGAACTAACAAGTAAAAAGACTGTGTTGAGAAGATGGAAGGAGTACTTTCAGGATCTCATGAATGTAGGATACAGTGGGGCAAAAAAGTATTTAGTCAGCCACCGATTGTGCAAGTTCCCCCACTTAAAATGATGACAGAGGTCAGTAATTTGCACCAGAGGTACACTTCAACTGTGAGAGACAGAATGTGAAAAAAAAAATCCATGAATCCACATGGTAGGATTTGTAAAGAATTTATTCGTAAATTAGGGTGGAAAATAAGTATTTGGTCACCTCAAACAAGGAAAATCTCTGGCTCTCACAGACCTGTAACGTCTTCTGTAAGAAGCTTTTCTGTCCCCCACTCGTTACCTGTATGAATGGCACCTGTTTGAACTCATCATCTGTATAAAAGACACCTGTCCACAGCCTCAAACAGTCAGACTCCAAACTCCGCCATGGCCAAGACCAAAGAGCTTTCGAAGGACACCAGGAAAAGTATTGTAGACCTGCACCAGACTGGGAAGAGTGAATCTACAATAGGCAAGCAGCTTGGTGTGAAAAAATCAACTGTGGGAGCAATCATCAGAAAATGGAAGACATACAAGACCACTGATAATCTCCCTCGATCTGGGGCTCCACGCAAGATCTCATCCCGTGGGGTCAAAATGATCATGAGAACGGTGAGCAAAGATCCCAGAACCACACGGGGGGACCTGGTGAATGACCTGCAGAGAGCTGGGACCAAAGTAACAAAGGTCACCATCAGTAACACACTACAACAGCAGGGAATCAAATCCCGCAGTGCCAGACGTGTTCCGCTGCTGAAGCCAGTGCATGTCCAGGCCCGTCTGAAGTTTGCCAGAGAGCACATGGATGATACAGCAGAGGATTGGGAGAATGGTTTCATCTGACCACATGACAAAGTAGAACTTTTTGGTATAAACTCAACTCGTCGTGTTTGGAGGAAGAAGAATACTGAGTTGCATCCCAAGAACACCATACCTACTGTGAAGCATGGGGGTGGAAACATCATGCTATGGGGCTGTTTTTCTGCCAAGGGGACAGGACGACTGATCCGTGTTAAGGACAGAATGAATGGGGCCATGTATCGTGAGATTTTGAGCCAAAACCTCCTTCCATCAGTGAGAACTTTGAAGATGAAACGAGGCTGGGTCTTCCAACATGACAATGATCCAAAACACACCGCCCGGGCAACAAAGGAGTGGCTCCGTAAGAAGCATTTGAAAGTCCTGGAGTGGCCTAGCCAGTCTCCAGACCTCAACCCCATAGAAAATCTGTGGCGGGAGTTGAAAGTCCGTGTTGCTCGGCGACAGCCCCAAAACATCACTGCTCTCGAGAAGATCTGCATGGAGGAATGGGCCAAAATACCAGCTACTGTGTGTGCAAACCTGGTAAAGACCTATAGTAAACGTTTGACCTCTGTTATTGCCAACAAAGGTTATGTTACAAAGTATTGAGTTGTATTTTTGTTATTGACCAAATACTTATTTTCCACCCTGATTTACGAATAAATTCTTTACAAATCCTACCATGTGGATTCATGGATTTTTTTTTTTCACATTCTGTCTCTCACAGTTGAAGTGTACCTCTGGTGCAAATTACTGACCTCTGTCATCATTTTAGGTGGGGGAACTTGCACAATCGGTGGCTGACTAAATACTTTTTTGCCCCACTGTACATGAGAGAGCTGGACAGTTGCCACCTCTCTCAAGTGGAAGGGAGGGCAGCTGTGGAAAGGTACTTGGTCCAGTTGACATATCTGTGGAGGTATGGAGATGTCCAGGAGAAAAGACAGTGGACTTTTAAACAGAATACTTAATATAACCTTGGAAAATGAGGATGCCTGAGGACTGGAGAAGTATACTGCTACTGATTTTTAAGAACAAGTCTGGTATAGAGAAGGTGTAACAGTGAAGCTGCAAGGAGCAGAAATAGTGACGGTAGATGAGGATGGAGTCATCCTTCTAAAGCAACAGACAGTGCAGTGAATTTGTGCCCATTATAGAAGCAAGAAATGCAACAAATTTTTAACTTTATTCAGTTTGCATGTGTGCATATAATTACATTAGAGGACCTCCGTTTTCATGCTCACAGCAATATATAATAGTCCCTTTAGGTTCTGGATCAGCCATGGTTAAATATTTTTTATCATCCATCCACCCTGACCTGACTGTATGCCTCCATGAGCTCACCGTCCTTTTTTTTTCCCCTGTCATAATTATTCTGACCACTAGAGGGTGTTGCCACAAAGTCTTTTTCTTTATTGTTATTTATAGTGAATCTTTTCTCAGTGTTTTTAAAAACACTGAAATAAAGTAGCTTTATTTAGCTACTGAAAACTGATACTTGCTATATGCGAGCCTCTATAGCCGCTATATCCTTAAAGCTGTATAAAAATAACAGTATAAAAACAAGTAGGATATTATTTTTTAAATCACAAGAAAAATGGACAAAACAAAATAAACAAAAAAGCTGTTAAGACAGAAATATACAATTATCAAAATATATTATTTGTAAAGCAAAATAACTGTAGCTTTAAATAACAGTCACGTTGACTCCTGAATACAATGTTTTGTTTTTGTATTTATTTTTTGTTGTTTATTACTTTTGGAAAAATCTCATGTAGGACATCTACCTGTTTGGTGGCAAAAGCACCAATGAGGATGGCACAGTGACGTCGTCCAGTGAAATCCACAAGCTCAGTATTGGTGGGTTGGATGCTGCAGAGAAGTTAAAACTGACTCGTGTAATTCTGAAGAGTTAAAGTGTGTAAATACTTCACACTGTGTGTCTGCAGCGAAGACGAAGTGGAAGGTCCCGCTCTACGTCGGGATTCCTCCAACACGTCGGCATGGACACACCGCCTTCATCCTTCACAGCCATGTCAGCAAAAATAAAATATATTATTATCGAGGTTTTTTTTTATTATTACTGTGATGTGATGTGAAATAAAGTGTTCTTTTTGTGCCTACTTGATTGGCAGCTGTATGTGTTTGGAGGGAAGAACGAAGAGCAGAATTTCAATGACCTAAAGGTGATGAAGCTCATTAACCCATCAGAGAGGCAACCAGGTACGTTATAGTGTATTACAGTTTTTTCTGATTGCTTAAGCACATTTTTGGTAACTATTGGCTATTTTTGCAAAACTCTACACACAAATAAGAAAACCTGTCACCCAATTATCAAAACATTGTAGTTCTCTTGCAAAAGCAAACACAGCTAGATTAACTCTTCACACCTTCGTAAAAATGGTATTTCCGTATCAAACAGTACACACAAGCCATCATCTACTAAGCACACAATGCGCCAACTGCACACTGATGGTATGAATACAAAACACATCTCAATTTGAGGTCACACTTTTGTCATAGTGTCATGTAAACATACAAGGATCCAAACTTCAAGTATTGGTGTTTATTCACACTCATCAAAACCAAGACAAAGTCAGAACACAAAATAGGAATTCCACAAATAAAAGGGAAAAAAAAGACAATCGGCCTACATCATGTCGTCTTTCTGGGTCCGGCCACAAAATTTCGTCCACATCGCATGCGATATCCTCCAGTCCAAGGCACCGGGGAAAATATCTCCTTGAATGCCATATCCAGGCCTGACATGATGCCTGGTCAATATCTCCACATGCCTCCTCCATTGCCTGTAAAAGGGTTACCTGTTGATGAAGATGACGGTCATACACTTTCCAGCGCCAGGCAGAGAAGAACTCCTCGATGGGATTCAAGAATGGAGAGTATGGAGGGAGGTTGAGTGCCATGAAGGATGGATGGTCTGTAAACCAGTTGCGGACCAAAGCAGCCCTATGGAAACTAACATTGTCCCATATGATGACATATCGGGTCATAGCTGCACACATGGTTATGTTACCACCACGTTGTCCTGGGACATTGATGATGGCACGGTGTCCAATAATGTTCTTGCCACGTCTCCTGGTTTTACTGAGGTTAAAACCGGCCTCATCTACAAAAAGTAGCTCATGTCCCATTGCATCTGCTTCTAGTTCCATCACTCTCTGGACAAGACAAAACAAATGCAACACATCAGGCCCATGCACAGCACTACAGTATGCACTTCCAAATTCAGAACCAATGACACTAGCTTACCTGCACATAGTCATATCGCAGTTGCTTTACACGTTCTGTGTTTCTGTCGAAAGGAACTTTGCTTCATTCTTATTCTGTGGCGCGCGCAAGTACACGACTTAGTGCAGAAATGCTTGCACTGTGTATATTTTGAAAGATGGTGTCATTATCAATTATGCGCTGCTGTATTTCACGCAGTCTTATTACATTATTGGCAATCACCATGTTCACTATATGGGTCTCTTGCTCTGGAACGAACATTCTGCCTCTGCCCCCAACATCTGGACGTCTAGCAATTCTGTAAAGTAACAATTTCAGTATTTTTGCATGTATGGTACTGTTGTGTTTCTCATTAGAGTATGGCAGTGCTACAAAGTACTTACCGATTCTCATTTCGAAATGTCCTAATGATGCTTGCCACAGTGTAGCGGCTCAGTTTAGGCTGAACCCGTTGGCCAGCTTCCCTCAGGGTCATCCCATGGTTGATAACATGGTCCACTATTGTAGCTCTGGTGTCATCAGTTATTCTGTTTCTTACTCTTCTTACCCTTCCTCTTTCCCCTCCTCGTCCTCTTCTTGCTCCTCCTTGTCCTCTTCCTCTAACATCCTCTAACCCTCTTGCTTCTTCACCTCCACGTCCTCTTCCTCCAACTTCTTCACCTCCACGTCCTCTTCCTCCAACTTCTTCACCTCCACGTCCTCTTCCTCCAACTTCTTCACCTCCACGTCCACCCCTTCGGCCTCCTCTGATTCTCACTCTTCTCACTCTTACTGCTCCTTCCATTGTACTCCACATAGACAGCTTACCTGTGGCCTGTTTATAGTACTTAGGCTGATTGCAAAGTGGACTAATTATCTAAAACTGTTTTCACATGTGAAAGTGTGCCAGACAGTTGGCAAAATAGTGTTAATGATAGCCATACATGTGTATACTTTTGCTAGGAGTGTGTTGGAAATTTGGTAATTGAGTGTAAGCAGTGTTTAAAGTTCTGCAAAAAGAGTGTTGTGAAGTGAATTGTGCCTACAGTTTTGCAAAGTGTGTGTTACAAAATTGCAAACTGAGTGCAAAGCAGTGTTTGTGCTTTTAGTTTTGCAAACTCAGTGAGTGGTTTTGCTATAAGCATTAATACTTTTAGGAATTGTGCTATAGGAATCACAGTTAGGGTTAAAGCCATCAGAAAAAACTGTAAAGGCAAACATATTTGGCTCTTGTTAAAGAGCACAGGAGCTGCAGTGGCAAAGCTGTCCACAGGATGGTGCTAGAGGAGAGGTCAATGGTCATTTAAATAGGCACAACAGGAATGGATTCTGTTTTTACACACTTTCTTGTGCACTGCAGTACTTTTAAATTTTAAGTTGATAAATTTAAAATCAAAAGTACTGCTTTTTTTTTTAAACGTCACATCAAACTCATTCCAGAAAGACAAAGAAAGAAAAGTTTTTCAATTTCACACATCCCCCACAACCACAGTATGTCGTCTTCTACATTAAATGCAGCTTTTGGGACTAAAGTCACAGTAGCTGTTTCTTTAGATTCTTTTCAAGCCATTTTTTAAACACAGGAATTAACAATGAGTAGTTATAATAAAATGTAAAAAAAAAAAAAAGTCTTTGTGCTCTCTGAGTTCTTTAAAAGCCATCTGGTTACCTCTCCATAGTGGAGACAATTCAACCTTGCTTCAGTCAAGGAGTGCTGCTAAAATTGTTTCTTGATCTTGCTGACCAAGTAACTCCTTATTTACTGAGTTTGGACAGGTGTTCCTAACAAAGTGTCCTAGTGGTTACAAACTTCCTCCACTTTACAAATACTAACATCCTTGTGTTTCTGAGAACACTCAGAGCTTCAGACATGGTTTTTCTGAACTGTTTGCTACTCATTTAAATTAGCACAGATGGACTCCAAGTTAGAGATACATATCGAGGATATTTAAAACAGACAAGATGCACTGCTCACAGTTTGGAGCCACAGCAAAAGGCTGGATTATTTTTTTTAAATGGAAGATTTTAGTTTTTCATTTAATACACTGAAATACAAGTTTTCAATCATGAAGTCTTAATGATTAATGAAACTGCCAATTAAAATTAAGCATACAACAAAGAAGAGCGCGCATAAACTGAGGGGAATCTATTTTATTATCATTATGTGAGTTTACAGTTTTTTCTGATTGCTTAAGCACATTTTTTGTAACTATTGGCTAATTTTGCAAACCTCTTCACACAAATAAGAAAACCTGTCACCCAATAATCAAAACATTGTAGTTCTCTTGCAAAAGCAAACACAGCTGGATTAACTCTTCACACCTTCGTAAAAATGGTGTTTCCGTATCAAACAGTACACACAAGCCATCATCTACTAAGCACACAATGCGCCAACTGCACACTGATGGTATGAATACAAAACACATCTGGCTTTTGCTTTCTCTGTGCACAAGGTAGGCTATGTCAGTTTGAGCTCATACTTCTGTCATAGATCCATAAGCATAGAGGGATCCAAACTTCAAGTACTGGTGTTTATTCAAACACATCAAAACAAACACAAGTGTTTATTTCCAAGTATAGGATTATTTGCAATCGCCATAATGACTATATGGGTTACTTGGTATGCAGTGAACATGCTTCCTCTGCCCCAGCATCTGGTCATCTAGCAATTCTGTAAAGTAACAATTTCCGTATTTTTACATCAATGGTATTGGTGTGTTTCTCATTGGCATATGGCAGTGCTACAAATCTTTGTGCGAAGTGACTGTACTAACCGATTCTCATTTCAAGATGTCCTTATGGTACTTGCTACAGTGTAGCGGCTCGAGTTAGGCTGGACCCGTTGGCCAGCTACCCTCAGGGTCATTCCACGGTTGATTACATGGTCCACTATTGTAGCTCTGATGTCATCAGCAATTCTATTTCTTACTCTTCCTACCCTTCCTCTCCCCCCTCCTCGTCTTCCTCTCCCCCCTCCTCGTCTTCCTCTTGCTCCTCCTTGTCCTTGTCGTCCTCTTCATCCTACTTCTTCACCTCCACGTCCTCTTCCTCGGCCTCCTCTGCTTCTCACTCTTCCTGCTCCCTCCATTGTACTCCGCACACACAGCTTACCTGTATTATAGTGCTTAGGCTGATTGCAAAGTGAACTAATTATCTAAAGAAGTTTTCACATGTGAAAGTGTGCCAGACAGTTGGCAAATTAGTGTTAATGATAGCCATACATGTGTATACTTTTGCTAGGAGTGTGTTGGAAATTTGGTAATTGAGTGTTGTGCAGTGAATTGTGCCTACAGTTTTGCAAAGTGTGTGTTACAAAATTGCAAACTGAGTGCAAAGCAGTTTTTGTGCTTTTAGTTTTGCAAACTCAGTGAGTGGTTTTGCTATAAGTCTGAATAGTTTTAGAGATTGTGCTACAGGAATCACAGTTAGGGTTTAAGCATTCAGAAAAAAACTGTAATAGCTCTCATTACATTTACATCATTTACAGCACTGCACTTGCTCCATGAGAACTCACAGATGAACTTTGTGTCAGACTGAAAAACAAAAAACTTCTGTCTCCACAGTGATGAAGGAGATTCTGTCAGAGTTTGGTCTCCAGGGTATCAGCCACAGGTCAGCAGCTGCTGTCTGTGTGTGCACACCGGCTCTCTTTAATGCGTGTGCGTGTGTGTGTGTGTGTGCCATTTGAGCCTCTTGTCATGCTCTGTTTGAGTCTCATATCTCGGTTTTAACTCACTGGTTTCATTCTGGTTTTGACCGTTAACAGCTTCACTCCCACAAAAGTTCCCAACGTCCGCTACGAGCTGAGCGAGGCAGCTCCATCCGTCCAGCAGAAGAACACGATGGTGAATCCACAGGTGTCAACATAATACACTCGCCTTCATTCATTCTTTTTAAATGGTGGTAAAAAGTCATGCAGATTCAGAGGGTTGGAAGACCAGGGTGAAACTCTGGTTACTATGCAACGCAGATAAAATTGCATTTCCTGCTGCAGGTGTTTGTCCACAGAGACTTCAGCGCAGTGCGTGATCAGGCAATGACAATGATCCAAACAGCATTCACACTGCTGGACCAGGAGTTCCACAAACTAGATCGGTACATGCACATCTTCATTTACACATTTAACTACAACTCAAAGGGCAAGAACATGCATGAGGTGACCCACTGTAGGAGCTCATCAGGCTAAAGGTTTAACTGCCTCACCTCTAAACATCGTATTTCCTGTGCTCATCCTGAATGGCTGAATGTGTTTTTTTTTCTTTCAGAGAGAAGTCAGAGCTGACTAAAGCTGCAGCTGCTCTGCAAAGAGAGAAAGATGCTCATGAAGCACATAGACAACAACAACAACAGGTTCAACAGCCTTCTAACATCCACCAAGTCAACAGTGAAGTCCCCGGGGGCTGGGGCAGGTTTAGGCTGCATGCTACACGAGTATAGTTTCAGAAACCTTGTAGATATATAGTCTTTACAGTTATTCTGTACTCCTGGTATAAGGATGGTGCTATTAATGTGTAAAAGCTCCAGATAAAGGGGTCAATGTGAATGTAATCTAAGCTGAAACTGGTAACTAACTATTATTTACAAAGAATATTTACAGAAACTTGGGATACACAAGACAAGGGTGCAGATTATAAAATCAAAAAAGAGGAAAAACAATACTGTTTAAAATATACAGCAGATTATTTAAACGGATAAATACAAGAAGGGCAATAAAATCGAGTAAACTCCGGAAAGAATGAGATGGAAAAGAGGTCAGTGACTCTGCTGACCTGCCTCTCTCTTTAGATTTACATGTACAGGCTTCAGGCCTCAAACCTGAACCTTTCACCTCTCATCCTCCTTGAATGGAGTGACCTCATGCTGCTGCCGAGCCAAATTATGGATCCGCTGCTTTGATCTGCTTGTGCAGAAATGTTATGAAAACGACCCAAGAAGGCGAAGTCATCGTATGTGCAGTTTGGCATCAAGCTCTAAAGCAACAAGAGGGCAGGAAGTGAACACAGGACCACTAGTGACTCCTGTTTTAGTCCTGTGAATCCCCCTGAGTGGACCACCTGTGATTGGTGTATTGTAAGTTTCTGCTTGTGATCCCAAAATGCTGGAACAGTATTTGAGGACTAAATTTAAGCTGCTCAGACCCAAAAGTTAAAACACCTTTCAAAGTTTAACAGTAAAAACTGGAAATGAATTTAAAAACAAATCAGGAACTTTATCCTGGTTCTTGTTACATTAAGTTCATTTAATCCTAATCTAACCCATTAACCTCTTACACACTCTAACCCATTAATCTAATCTACCATGAATCCATTACATTTTTATCTGATCACTAACATAATTCAATGCATGAGAGGAAGTCAGTAAATGTAGTGCAATCCCGTATGATCTCGTTATTTAAACCTAATCACATGTTAATCAGTGATATATTGTTTCTAATATTTTTTGTAAGATGTTTTAATCTGTTTTATGATTTATTTTACTTAATAGAGCAATTTTATTGTGCAATTCTGCTTTCGTCTGCCATGTTCATATTTCAGGTGTTTAGACCCAGGATATACTTTATTTACACAAGTGTGTGTGTGTGTGTGTGTGTGTGTGTGTGTGTGTGTGTGTGTGTGTGTGTGTGTGTGTGTGTGTGTGTGTGTGTGTGTGTGTCAGGAGCTGCAGGAGATGCTGGACAGACATCGCTCTCAGAATGAAGCTTGGCTTCGAGCGAGAGCTGAGGAGAATGACCGAGAGAGGAGGGAGCTCTGCAGACTCAGAGTCAGTAAAACAAGCAAACACACTAACACACATGCACACTCTGCTTCACTAACATATTTTTGCATTTCATGCATGTAAACAGGAAACAAGACAGTCATTAAACAAATAAAATAAGTTTTCTAACTTCCTGGTTTACGTCCACACTGTGCTGCACATCACAGCTTCACTGTTTCCAGCGCTGGCTTTGGGAAACGATCAGAATGTGAAATCACTGATGTTATTTTCAGTTTAAGGTGTCTTTATGACAGCTTAGCAGACAAAAATCCATGGTAAACTGTTGTACATGCAGTCCTGTTCATCAGTTAGTCATTATTTGAGATACGTGGGAGTGTTAAATTTGATGTGTGTGATGTGTCTCTCCTCAGGAGGAGGTGTTACAGGAGCAGGAGAGACTGAAGGAGGAGCAGAGCAACATCCAGAAACGCAGCGAACACCTCCTCTCCATCATGCAGCAGTTCAAAGGAATGTGAGATAGATGGATAGACTGATGGAAAGAGAGAAATAAACAATTTTTACGATCATAAGTCGAAAATTTGTGTCATCATCTACAATTTTGTATTCGGTATCTAAAACTTTTAACTTACTAACTCAAAACGTCTAAGAAAATAATTAAACATTTTGAATGGCAACCCCCCCCCCGCAACATAAACAGCCTTCCATAAGAATAAAAAAAATGGCCTCACTTGCAGCAGCGTCTGATGGTTAGTCCCAGTGTTTATTAGCCTGATGTGTGGATGGATGCAACCATGATGTTTCTGATATTTTGAAGCCTTGACTCTAAATTTATGGTCACTGACATTTTCATTTTTTTTTCTTAAGTTTTGGTTAGTTTTTGTTTCTTTGGAGCCAGAGGTAATCATACTTAGACAAGAGGGTCGAGTGCTACATTATTAGAAAAATACAGTTTTCTTAGCAAGCTACACCCATAACTGCCCACACAGATACCTGCTGAGTAGTGCTAAATGACAGACTGATGAAAAAGTAGAATTGCACTGACTCTGGAGCATGAAATTCTCAGATGGTCTGTCCCTCACAGAAAGCCATTTTTTTTTCTGTCAGATAATCTGACTAAAGATCTCCAAAAGGCATCTGTGAAGGTTCTCAGTCATCCAGGTCATCGTAGTCTAAGGAGCTTGGAAAGAAAAGCGTCTGGACTTCTTTCGGTTGCTTGAAGACGTTTCACCTCTCATCCGAGAAGCTTCTTCAGTTCTAAGGTCAAATGGTGGAGAGTCCCAGATTTAAACCCAGTGGGAGTATCCCCCCACAGAGGGACAAAAGGACCCCTGATGATCCTCTACCTAATCACGAGCCAAGGTGTGAAACTGGGTGTGGGTCCCAATTAGCTAGGGTTTCGGGTGAGCTCATTGTGAAACCTAGCCCCACCTTATCATGCGAATTCCTGAGGTCAGATGGCCCAGGATGTGAGTGGGCGTTAAGGCGTCTGGGAAGGGATCTCAAAACTGGATTATAGATGGCAGACAGTTGGTGTCGTAACCACTGCCTCTGTTCAAAGATGGTCGCTCACAGTGGACATAGATGGCTTCTTTCACTCCTCTTTCAAACCATCTGTCCTCTCTGTCCAAAATGTGAACATTGGCATCTTCGAAAGAGTGTCCTTTATCCTTAAGATGCAGATGGACTGCTGAGTCTTGTCCTGTGGAGGTGGCTCTTCTATGTTGTGCCATGCGCTTGTGAAGTGGCTGTTTGGTCTCTCCAATGTAGAGGTATGGACATTCCTCGCTACACTGTACAGCATACACCACATTGTTAAGTTTGTGTACACACAAACTTAACAATGTTGAAGTCCAGACGCTTTTCTTTCCAAGCTCCTTAGATATCCAAAATTCACAAATGCCATGAAATACTTGAGCTATTGAGTTCCAGTGACTCTATTTAGACAAAGGGAGAACTTAAGAGGCCAGAACTGTTTTGTAAACATGTTTATTTCTGCTGTAAAGCTGAATATTTTAACTCTATGGAGATTGACTCACTTTTGGTTCCTCTGGTGGACACTGGAGGAACTGCAGCTCACACTTGTTTTCTTGTTTTATTTGTTTGCTACGGTGGCCCCTAGAGACAAAGCACGTACAAACTCCAAAACACTTGCAAACTCCAAAACACATGCAAACTCCAAAACACATGCAAAATCCAAAACACTTGCAAACTAAAAAACACATGCAAATTCCAAAACACTTGCAAAATCCAAAACACGTACAAATTCCAAAACACTTGCAAACTCCAAAACACTTGCAAATTCCAAAACACATGCAAACTCCAAAACACTTGCAAACTAAAAAACACATGCAAACTCCAAAACACTTGCAAAATCCAAAACACGTACAAACTCCAAAACACTTGCAAAATCCAAAACACGTACAAATTCCAAAACACTTGCAAACTCAAAAACACATGCAAATTCCAAAACACAACGGAAGTGCTCCAGGACGCTAGGGGCAGTGTTGAGCTTTTGTTACCTAGTAACTACACAAGCCAGGAAGTGCCAATGACCGGATTTGGGGTTTGCAGCCTTAAAGGCCGCATTTTAAGGCCGATTACGTCACAGCAACAAGAGAAGGCTTTCCCAATTCAAAGGCTGCTCGAAATGCGGCCCTCAAATGCGTCCATAATTTCCCTGAATTTTAAGGATGGGTCGGTGTAGCCTTCATGGCCCAACATATCCCAGACTTCATAGTGCGGTGGTGGTGTGGATAATTTTGCCGAAAAAAAACGGTGGAAGCGGAGCGGAGGAAGTGTAAACTTTCAGAAGTAAGTACTGAATATTATGTCACTTATTTATGCGCAAATATTTTTTTAATGAAGAACATTGAACCATTATTGTTGGCCACATGTCGGGAAAGTTATGTGACATTAGTCATGTCTGTACTTTCAGAATTAACTTGGTTTTAAAGCCTTTACTTTAAAAAAATATATATAGTCGACCTTAATCTTACAGAGATTGTGATGATTTTGTGGATAATTAAAGTCAGTCATATATCCACAAACACAACAAGCTGAAAGTCAGTGATGCTGCTCGGTTTGCAGTCCTGAATATCACAGCACAAGGAAGATTCACTGCACTGTTAACGTTAGCTATGTTATATTGCTGCCTCTGTTCGGTGGTGTCGAGCCAAACGGACTTTAACGTGTGTTTGAACGAGCTGACGGTTCACTCGTTAAGCTGAAAGAAAGATGCTTTAATCACAGGAGTCACACATGTGTGTCCACTGTACCATCTGGGAACTCCTCTTGTTTCGTAATAACACAAACACTAAATCCTCCTTCTTTTGTGCTGTTTTGTAGCAGTGTATACACCTGAGACTTTAACCTGTCTGTCTGTCCTGCACTCTCTCTCTGTTTCTTTCTCTCTGATTGTGTAATAAAAATATGAACATGTGTTTATAAGTCACACTTGTGTTTGAATCCTGCAGCTTATCACACATTTGATTTCCATGTGTGACAACTGCAAGTGTCCAGAGTGAGGACAGACTGAGGGACCCACTGCTGCACATCATCTGTGAGGCTTTGCACCCCTGATGATCCACCAGGACAAACTCAACAGTGTGTGAGGAAGAGGAGGAGGAAGAGCCAGCAGCAGCTGACAGATGGAGAGAATAGACAGACTGTTCCCTGTTTGTGAAGGACTGCTAGAAAAGTTTAAAATAAATAATTGTCTGTCCTGAATCAGTCTTATTAGGTAATGTTCAAATAATTTTATCATTCCAGTGTTTTCAGTGTGGGAGAAAGTACTCAGGGCCTTCAAGTTACACACTATGAAAGGCAGCAACAAGTGTAATATTCAGAAACCTAAAGTATGTATCAGCAGCAGAATGGAACTAAAAATAAATGTTTGTTCCAGTTCTATGAAGCTTTGAGTATTTTGGATTAGTAGCACTGCTGTGTTTGTTGCATCATATTGCTGTAATTGTTTATATGCTTTATATATTCTGAGGTAAGTTGATCTATAGTGTTACATCATATTCTGTAAGGATGTTATGTGTTTGTAGACTTTCTGCCCAGTTTGACCCATTTAGCAGAAGCCAGCCTGTTTAAGGCTCTGATATCTATTCTGTATGACTTAAAGCAGTTATGACATGGTCTGATTTTCTCACCCAATAAAGGAATATTTCATATATCAGTCTACTCTTCATTTTATCAGAAACAGTTATCACAGCTTGTACATTTTCTTTTAATAAATATATGTAAGCAATGAGCCAAATTTAGTAATGCCAACATACTGAAGGAACAACATTTGTCTCTTATATATGATTGTTACGGCCGCTGGCCTCAGGTGGCCCCGCCTTCCTCCCTGGAATCTACAGTGCTCCAGGACTCACGGGGGATTGGCTGGCCCGGACATATGCCTGCCCCAACTTCATGCGGATCCGAGCCTGTCAGACTACACACACCATTGGCTCCCGCAGGAGCCTGGAGTACGACGGACAAGTGACACAGCTGTCTGCAGTTATGACAAGTGACACAGCTGACTGCAGTCACCTGATAGTATAAAAGGCTGAGGAGTCTTCATTCGTCGAGGGACTTGTTGAATTGAACAGACTGTACAGAGAGTCCCTCCCTTTTGCCTTTTTGCCTTTTGCCTGTGTTTTGTGTTGCCTCCTGCGAGACGTTTAGTAGAGCAGTGCTCTACTGGTGTTATTAATCGTGGTGTTTGTTTAAAGTTTCTCTGCTGCCTAGTGAGTTGTTTCACTAACGGATTTCAGTTGTGTTAATAAACCTTATGTTTGTCGTCCTACCTAACTCCTTGGTCTCTGGGCTCGTTTATGTTACGTCCGCTGCCGCCTAGCAGAGCCGGGCCGTAACATAAGTGGGGGCTCGTCCGGGATCCCTCATAGGGGGTCTTTGTTCCTGGGAGTGGGGGTCAAACAAAAAAAAAAAAAAGGAAAAAGGAGAAATTGAATTTGCTAAAGATTAAGCACTATGTCGGCTGCGTTTTGTTTACAGCACTTTTTAGCTGCCCCGTCTCTTGAGATTATTAATAGCTGTCGCAAGAATGATTTGCTGCAAATTGTGGATCACTTTCAGCTGCAGGTTTCGAAAACTCTCCGTAAGAGTGAAATAAAAGCCTTAGTGGTGGACAAGTTGGTGGGTGCTGGGGTGCTTCAAGCGCCTGTTTTGCCTGTGGTCTCTGGTGTGCCAAGCCAAGCTGCCGTAGTTGAAGAGGGCCAGAATGGTTCCAGTGGGGATGGTGAGGGGGATGAGCGGGGAAAAACGCCGCGCACGCTTCCTCACTATGATCCACTCTCTTCTGGGAGTTCCGAAGGGAGAGAAGGAGCTCGGCTGAAGGTGCGGCTGGCACGTCTCCAGATGGAGGCTGAGGAGAAGGCTCAGAACAGGCGGGTTCAGCTTGAAATAAGAAGGCTGGAAATAGAGGCAGACAAGGCCGTTAGGCTCCGACAGCTTGAGCTGGAGTCACAGTCTCAAGCCTCATCTGTCTCTGCTGTCCATTCCGGTCCCACCTCCACGTCCACTCCTGCTTTTAAAATTGATAAGTGCATTTCTTTAGTGC